CCTCTAGCGACCAATAGCCTTAACCCACCTTCACCTTGCCCCCTCCCCAACTTCAGCCTTACAGAATGTCTATGTGGACTGGAACACAATTTCTCATCACAGTCCTAACATCCTTTTATTTTTATTGTATTCTTTGGTTTAAATTATTTCTTGTTTTTTGTTAGTGTCCATAGTTAAATTCTTACTTTCTTGTGTTTTACTTCTTTGTTAAATACGTAGTACTTGCTTGTCTTTGTCTCGTGTTTTGGTAGTGTTCATGTCCTACCCTTGTGTTTTGTGCTCGTTTTTTGTGGGTTTCTTATGGTCTCCCTTTTGTGATGGGATGTGAGTAGTCTAGGCATGGTCTCCCTTTGGCTAGTGATTATGTAAGGTTGTATCTCAGTTTTGTGGGTTTGGTGGGTGGGTTGCCAAGGAAGGTTATGGGCGCCTAAATTGGGATTTAGGTCATGGAACATAGGGTCCTTAAGGGGAAGTTTATAGAGTTGGTGAAAGTTTTTAAGAAGTTTCATGTTGCGTGCGACCAAAAAACGAGATGTGCAGGCACCAAAACACATGATGTGGATGTGATCAAAATGTGGTACTTTTGTGCTCCAAGGAAGAAGAATGGGCTTGGCATTTTGAGTGATCTAGATCTTTATGAGCTTGTGGGTGGTCAAGGTGAGAAGGGTTAGTGATGTCCTAATGTCGATTAAAGTTGTTCTTGTTGGGTGTACTGTCAACGTTATCAGTGGCTATGCAACCAACATAAGCCAATTGTGATGGTTGTCTTGATCAGGTGGGAGAGGACAAGGCCAGCTACACGTGGCCTCTAGAATGAGGATGTTCTAGGGAGGATGGGTTGGCCTCTATGGAGGATACTTTGAGATAGTCTGAACGCATACTGAGGAGAAGTCTAGTGAGACGATGTGAGAGGCTTGAGGTAGGGGATGTGAGAAGCCGTTGAGGTAGACCTAAGAAGAGTTAGAAGGGAGTGATTATACACGACTTACAAGTTCAGTATCTTACCAGGGAAATGGCCTTAGATAAGACTGTCTTGAGGTCTAATATTTGGGTGATAGGTCTTTAAGGCCTTATGTTTTTGGTTTTTGCCTGTGTGCTTGTGCACCTTTGTAGTTTCTTCTTGTATGCTTGTTTTGTTTGGGTGATTTCTTTGTTCGTGCTACTTTCCTTCACTGATATGCTCCACTTTTTCCTGAGTCGGGGGTCTCTTAGAAACAACCTCTCTACTCTCTGAGAAAAGTAAAGTTTTCGTACACACACCCTCCCCAAACCCCACTATGTGGGATTTTTACTAGGCATATTGTTGTTGTTATGAGTCTGGAACGTTGGCATCACACAAATAGGAACTACAACCTTGTAGCCAATACAAGGGGCCAACTTCTAAAGAGAACAATATAAATTCAATTTCAGCATACTTAATTAGAGAGTGTTGGTCTGAATTGTTGTCCACAGCAGATTCCTCTTTGTAGTGGTGCACATACTTTGATGTTGTGGTGAATGCAGATATTTTGCCTTCATACAGGAGTTGTTTGAGCAAGACACGTATTGTTAAGAGTGTGAGTTTGGTGGAAGAGTGGTTCTTGATTTTGTCTACTTCAACATTTTCCAAACAAATTGGTTATGCAATTGTCATGTAGACTAGAGTCAATAAAATATTAAAATCAAGTCAGTATATGAATCTACACTAAACTCTTTCCTATCTATTGGAATATGAGAACAAATTGGGGAAAGGTGGAAAATGAACTTTCTAAACAACGCTCTTGTTCTACTCCCTTGCCAATTTTAATGCAATATGGAAACTGAGATATTGCCAGTTATAAGGAATACAGAATAATGTATTTCCGATAGTGATAGAATCGATGGGTTGGTCTTACTCAACTTCACTACAAGACACTTGAGCAAACCAAATTCATTCAAAATTTCCACGTAGAACTCATCAATAAACACACACACACATATCCCATCCACACATGACAATTTCAATGAAGTGCACCTAGCCTAGTTGCATGTGCACTAAGAGTGGGTTTTTGCCTAATTGTGTGTTAAATGACAAATGTGCTTTGTGGGCTGTATGCTGAATGTATTCATCAATAACTAAATACTTCATGTGAAATTATTTTGAATGAAAATGCATTGAACTTTTTGACCCACTCTCGGGAAAATGCATGCATGAACTTGACTGGTTTTGCACTCTGTATACATTCATGCATATTTTATTTATTGTCACATCAACTCCTTGCAAAGAGGTAAAGGAACTGACTGATCTGAACTTATTTTACAGTTGTATCGATGTTACTGGATCATATTGTGCATAGAAAACTGAACTAAACATTAGCCTGACAGCTGTAGGCTTTCTATGGACTTCTATTGATTTTCTTGTCAAGGGGGCCAAGGGGCTTCAAGATGCTCACGAAGAACATAAAGAATCTGGTGAAAATATTTTGAGCTTAATTTTGAATCACCCTTCTCTTTATGGATCTGCATTTTTGCAATTTGTTGCGCTCAAATCCTTTTCCTTTTTGTTCAAATCATGTTTCAGATAAAATAAACAATGGGATTATGGAGGAGTATAATCTCACTTCTTCAAATAATTATAGGGAGCAAGCATTACAGCTTAACGTAATTGATCGTGACAAATTGTTATTTTCTGTTTTCTCATTACTACAAAGTCTGGTAGCTGATGAGAGACCTGAGGTATATTGTACTCTAACACTTGGAGTATTTAGTTTTAGTATCATAAGTTAAATGCACATCTTTGTTTTGATTCCCATTAGACTTTCAGTAAATGTTGCGTTGCATATTTGAGTGTATTTATACTTCGGAAAATGTGAAAATATGTATTATATATGTATGTATTTTAGCTGCAAAGAGTCACAAGGATTTGATGTCATGCACTCATGCATGAGTTATCATAGATTTACATAAAAGATAGTCTTTGATGACGTGCTATCTTCTTCACTCAAACAGATGGAATACAAAGCCTATCTCTGAACGGAATGAATAGAGTGATAATGCCCAATAACGCTTTCAAACCATCAAATATAAATTTCCTCATTCCCCCGTCCTAGTCTTACTCTTACCCTTCTTTGAAAGACTCTTTGAGATAGAGTGATAAATCCGGCATGGGAGCTTGTGACCTATTGTCTCTAGAAGGCCATATAATAGCCTTTTCAGTGATAAGTTGAATGAGACTAAGATGAGTTCTATGCTCTTGTCCGATCCTATTGATTGGTGACACTACCTAATTGGGGTTTGGAAGGAGTTCATATTGCAAGATGATCATGAAGCATTAAAATAGCTCAAAATGCCTTCAAGGCCAACACAAACTTCATTCTTATCATGCTAAATGGGTGGAATATTTGCAAACTTTCACTTTGTCTATCAAACACAAAAGTGGAGAGTTTAAACAAAAGAACAAATGCCTTGTCCCGCAATTATTTTTCATGACTACTTCAAAAAGAAAAATAATTGGTATCAAGTTTTTGCAGGAATTGTACCAGGAGAATTCTGATTTCAAAGAGATCTCTGAGAAATGTTTGACGCGCCCCTATAGAGATTTCTTAATCAAAGATGGATTTCTATTTGAAGGAAACGTACTATGCATTCCATGGTGCATTGTTTGAGAAGTTCACATTGATGAAGTTCAAAGAGGAGCACTTGCCGGACACTTGTGAGGAGAAGACGCGTGATTTAGCTAGAGAGAACTACTACGGGCCGAAACTTGTGATATGGAACACTTTATCAAGAGAAGTAACACCTTCCAACTAGCCAATAAAACCATACACGTGCTCAGGACTCTTTCCTTTCCTGCCCATACCTCTAATTCCTTGGAATATGTTAGGCATGGTTTCATTACCAGGCTACCACACACTCAAACTGCAGACCTCTCTTGCAAAGAAGTGGTTCGTTTACATGTCATTCTGAGGAGCATGGTTTCTCATCGGGACAACGAGTTTCTTTGTCATTTAATTTGCTAAAATTGGGGATAAGTATAAATAAGAAACTAAAATTCAACCGTTTTTTCCACCCCAAACTGATGGACATATTGAAATGATGTACAAGACCTTCGATACTTTTTTTCAGATCGATACACACTCATAAAGATGATTAGAAGAACATCAAACAATGGGGGGACTTACTTCTTCTGATGTATCCGAGCCCGACCCTTTCAGGTCCTTCCCCACGCCTCACACAATCATGGGAGCCAAAGGACTTATGTTCAAACATTATGATCCATTTTAGTGAGAATTCAAAGGTCTTTTAACCCGAAAGGCCAAAATAACTTTTGTTATTGACCTAAGGGTTCCGCTGGCCAAATCCCATTCCGTCCAACCCAACCCCAAACATCCAAAAGTATTTTATTTCCTTTTGATATCCAAAATAAAGTCTCTTCCAGCTATTTTAAACCCTGGTCAAAAATAAGAAACCAAAACAACCCCATTCATTTTCCCAACATTCACCCAACATGGTCCCTACTATGTTCCCTAGTCCAGCCTAGGGGTGTAAATGGATATTAATCGGATCAGATGTGCCATTACTAAATTCGTATCCGTTTATTTTTGTCGGATATCAAATTCGGATACGGATCTTGACGGATACTGAAAACCAAAACCGTATCCGCATCCGTCGGATATTGGATATATCTGAATCTGTTTCCAATTTTTAAAATCAAATTCAACAATACTTTAATTATAAATTAGATCAAAGTCAAACTATTATTCAATCAACTATAATTTGGTATGGGATAATTATTTTCTTTGTTTTCATGATTTATGATATTTCTATGATAGCTTTATATGATAAAAAGATATACGCAACCCACATATACACATATTTTTATATGTATGTACATATTTTTATGTGTCTACACATTTATTTTGTATATAAAAATTTATTATATTTTGAAATATCAATAGAGAAACAAAATATAAAGTATAAACATAAAAAATTAGAAAAACTATATATAACGGATCGGATATTTTGATAAACGGTTATTTAAACGGATGCATATTCGGAACGGATTTTAAACGGATCGGATATACAATTACCAAATCCGTATCTGTTTAGTAATCGGATACCCTTAACCGGATACGGATAATATCCATTTAAAACAGATGCGGATATTTCCTCTTTAAACGGATTCAGATGCAGACGGTAATCGGATTTTCGGCTATCCGTTGACAGCCCTAGTCCAGCCCACTAAACAACAAAATAAATCTTCATATATGCAGCCAAAGTACCACACATCACTCATTCCCTTTGTCCCCCTGGTTGGCTGAATACATCCCCCAAAATCAGCCCAAAAGAATGCCATTCATTCCCCTTGGTTTGCCTTTCATTAGAGACCCTACAACCACACCCATCCTTGATTTTATTCCAATAAAAGGACCCAAACACATGGCTGATATTTCAAGGCCTTGAGAGAGGATGTTGCTAGGAAGCTTCCTCATGTTCACATTCATTGTATTGTGTATTATTTTCCCCTTCCCCTCTCCCTATATAACGTAGCCTTAGGGCAATGTGCAGGGACAATGGAATCATATTAAAAACCTTTTACTCTTTGAGTATTCTTAAAATAGTGTGATGCTGTTTTAGCCAAATTCCTAATTCTATATCTTAAGAGTGGTTATCTTAAGTGTGAGTTTTAGGTTCTATTTATTTGATTGAGTGTGTAATATCTTGATTAAATACTAGAGTTTAACCCCAAGTTAATCTAGAGGTGAGCTTATCCTTTAGTATTAATTTGGCTCCAAATTAAGATAAGAGTGTGTTTATCTCTTATTCCCTATTTGGAATTTATCCCATCCTTTAAAACCCAAAAAGAACTCCTTCACATTCCCATATTTTCATCCAGCCCATTTCCCCTTCATTATTCCACAATTCCATCTCCAAAAATAACAACTTGATAAGACCCGCGGTTCACCCCTAACACCTTCACACACGGTTTGCTTACAACTGTGCTTATAGCGAAAATACGAGTCATTCACCTTCTGTTACTGTATATCAGACTGATCCTTTCATTGCAATATTATTAAACCCATGGATAACCCAAAACAAAAATATCCCGAACTCGATAGTATCAAACTCAAGCTTGACCTGACATGTTTTCCAGCTCTAATAAGAAAATTCGTACCTCCCAAACTCTTTTCCCACAAAACCTTCTTTTCTATTTGCATTTGGCTGAACCCCTCTATCAATATCATCATCCATCATTCCATAATCTATCTTATATGACACCAAATATTATCTCTTTGCTTTGATTCCTTAATCTTTTTTCAACAGGGGTGGCACGTGAAGTGTCTGATGATTGTTTGCGAAGAGGAGATAAGTCTACTCGCGTCTTCAAATATGATGAATCTCTACCAAAAAACTAAATTTGTTAGAAAACTGTCTTTCCCTTTGCAATAATGAACTGTTCACACTAAGACAATATGGCTCTCGTAGTTTTGTACTCTCGTAACATGTGAAAGTATAATGAGGATACTGGTATTTATAATACAGTAGTCTCCTAAATCTTAATGACATTGAAGGTGACATTATGAGTGACATCAAAGAGCTAATGTCAAGCTTCTTGCATTTGTATCGTACACAAATATTCCTACATTTTGTTTCCACAAGTGTTTATATCTCAAATGGGTCGATGTTGTGTGGTTTAGCTCTCACAAGGGATCACCTTGTACTTGAATATGGTGCATGTTTTTGAGAGAGAAGTGTATTTGTGTTTTAGAGTATTTTTTATATGACTAAGTGCTGCTCCCTCTTTCTAAGAAAGTAGCTGTATTAGTAGGTTGTTAATTGGGATCTGTTCCTAGCTACACCCCACAAGGATCCTCAAGACGTGTAGGTTTTCCAAACTGTACAAACTAGATTATGGTCCCATTAGCCATAACCCATAGATGTCTGATATTTAACACACACCCTTGTGTCCTGTCGTACTGGACAACCAACAGGCAGACCCCAAACCATGTGATAAACGGGCAGTTTCCAAACTCTAGAAATAACAAATGGGTAGGCTCTGATACCATGTTAATTGGTCAATTGCGTCTAATTTTACCACAACTGGATGCTTTAGAGGATGTGGTTTGCCAAATTCTATCAACTAGACTATGGTCCCAGACTCCCAGTACCCATCCATGCGGGATACTTAACATAGATAATTTGCTTCTACGAAATCTAGTATGACGTCACCCTTTGGCCTTTTCATGTTTTTTGTTATAGCTACACACACGTGTGTGTGTGTGTGATATCTAGTTAGATGATTGTGTAAACTGCTTGGCGTGCAGAAATCAAAAGTTTTAATCTTCTTTATTCTTTAACATTCAATTGAATATATATCATTGATCTACCTAAATTGACTCTAGGTACGTAATTCTGCTGTCCGGACACTTTTTCAAATACTTGGAAGCCATGGGCAAAAACTTTCAAATAGGATTTGGGAGAATTGTCTGTGCAATTATGTTTTTCCTACACTTGATTGTGCTTCTCACATGGTAGGTTACATTGAATCAGATATTACCCATTGCATGTCAGAATTTTAAAGTTTCTTGTTTCTCACTTACCTGTTTGAGTCTAATCAATAGGCGGCTACCTCATCAAAAGCTGAATGGCAAGGAAAAGAGCTTGGAACACGTGGAGGAAAAGCGGTTCATATGCTCATACACCATAGGCATGAGAAATTCGAAATGCTTCATCTTGACAGTACTTTACATTGTCATAATCATGGTTCCCACCTTAATCCCAACTCCCAACTGTTTTGGTTGGTGTTGATGGTGTGAAAATTTGTGTCCATCAATGGGCTCAAATTAGTTCACACAAAAAGCCAGTGGAGAAATATTACGTCAGATGCGCTTTTATGGAAATATGAGATGTAACTCTATAACCATCATCAACGTAGGCTTTTCCAACGTGCATCAAATATATCTTGGGACTCAGTAAGCTGTGATAGCTGTTCCACTGTTTTTAAATTTTTTAATGCAATTATTTGAACCTGCAGCCGGAATACTGCGCAGAAACAATGGGATGAGACACTAGTTCTTGTGTTGGGTGGAATTGCACGCGTTTTAAGAACCTTTTTCCCATTACTCGGAAATATAAGTAATTTTCAATCAGGTAAATTTTCTATTCTTTTAATCTTTATTCTTTTTAAACTCAAAATGTACTTTGAGTTTCACTTTCTTGGATAATGAATGATGTTGTGGCACNAAATTGCTTGCATTCCACCATAGTTTCACAGTCTCCTAAGGTAATAACTACTGGCCTTTCTGAGGACGAGGAGTGCTCAAAGGGTCATTGCACCACACTTTCTTATGAATAGATGGTACCTATTTATTTTAAGACTAGCTGTGTCCTTAATGAATAGGTTTCAAATAATTAGTGATGTACATTACTTTAGAGTTTTTTTAGCTTTATGATTTTGTTCAGTAACATCTTGATAAAACAGGGAAATTTGCCACTTCCATACCTTATATCTGTCCTTGATATTTACGAGCTTGTTCTTTCAAAGTTGCCTAACTACAGTAATAGTGCAACCAGCAAAGTGATACAAGAAATCTTACTTAGTCTTGGTATGTCTATTCATTGGTCTGAACAGATATTTAGATTGTCCAAGGAGCTTTTTCAAGTGAAGTATGCATAATTCTTCAGTTTTTGGCAGGTGATCTATATGTTCAAGCGCAGGAAATGTTTGACAGCTTCATGTATTTAAAGCTGCTAAAAGTTCTAGATGTGGGGATCAAACAAACCAAGATTGCAAATAGAAACTTTGAAGCTGATTATGTATGTAATTGCATTCTGGCTAGGTTGTCTTCACCAAAACAACCTGCGCATTCCTGCACATTCAAGTCTTATTGTTGATTACAGGCCTTATAGCTCAAGACAGATTCTTGTTTCTTTTAGCTGAGTTTGTTTAGTATTTGATGAAGTGAAGAAACTAGAAGCTGACAAAATTCTTAAAAGCTTCTAGCAATGGGCTCTAAATGATTTATGTATTGTTCAGTATGATATATCTAATGTGAATATCTGTGCATTAATTGTTATCTGATGATGTGTTGTTTTTTCTTTAGGGCCATCTTCCACCTTTGCAGCGCACTATACTTGAGATTCTACCAATCGTATGTCCAGCTAATCATATTGCTACAATGTGGCCCCCTTTCCTTGGGAAACTAATGGAGTATCTTCCAGGATGTGATTCTTCCATTGGCGAAATTGATGATGGAGATCAAGGAAACAGTAATAGTTTTATGTGCTTATACTTGTGATTTTTTATCTATACATCTGTGAAAATATTTTTTGGGTTATGTTTTATGCAGCTGCCCGTAGTGTTGATGTTCCTTGTAGAATTGCTTCAAATTCTCCAAAGAAATCAGAAAATTTATCACCTGCAGGGCCATGTGTCCCAACACATATGTTCTCCGAGAAACTTATTCCTGTACTAGCAGATCTTTGCGTGCAAGCTCCAGCTGCAGTGAAGTATGACATTTTCCCTGACATTATTCATGTTTTAGGAAGGTAAGAATCGATTAGAAGGGCTTTTGTTCCGGCTCCCAAATTTCAATTTAAGCTCCTGATAATACCAGGAGATGATACACACAAAATTTAGGATGTGGTCATTTGGTCAAATGAGTTGGTTCATCACTCGGTCTTCACTGTGAAATACAAAATTATATAGAAATTGGAAGCATAAAAAATTACTATCTCTGTTGGTGTTTGTATGAGACCCTATTCTCATGGGATCCAACTGGCATGTTGTTTTATCTATGTTTGTGGTAGATTTGTCTCTGTATGCAATGGGGCATGAGGTTTTGAGATATCAATCCCCTTGAGATGAAGCCTGAAGGGTTCGGAAAACAAAAGTGTAGATGAAAAAAACTGTCTAAATTGGGACACATAAACCCTACATTTGCCAAGATAATATCATCTAAATTCTTTTTGTAGTATAGAGTACTGCAAAATAAGAATAAAATACTGTCTCGTAAAAAACATCCTTCTTTGACTTCTATGGAGTTAAAGAAAAATGTTGAAAAGTGAAAACTTTATAGTTAGACTTTGTTTAGAGAGGATTGTTTTACTGTGGCTGTTAGCTATCCAGATTCCAGATCCAACATCGATAATAGCTTCTTGATGTATATGTGTTAGCAACAGTAGAGTAGGCGAGGATTGAACTGGTGGAGGCCACACAGTTGTTGAGGGAGGACAAGGTGCACACAATTGTTTAGCCAAAGTTTTTCAAAAACCCCAAAACACAGTGGCCATTCTATAGATACAGCATTTATTTCTTCTTCCTCATTAATGGAGGGTATGGCTGCACCTCCTTACCCGTGGGACTTGAATGCTGTCCCCTCAGGATTTTTCAGTTGGTTGCGACTTGAATGCTCTGCCTGTTCTGGAATATTTTGTTTCGTTTATGGCCACCTGGTTTGTGTTCACCTTCCCCGCCATTGTCGCCATGTCTATCACTGCAATGTTCACCTCCACTGCGACGGTCAGGCTCCGATCAGGCCATGTCCACTGCTTTCACCTTCTCCGTCACTGTCACCATTACCGTCTAAGCCGCTGTGACTTTCACCTCAACTGTGACTCTCCCCACCTCTGCAAACTTCACCTCCACTGCCATCTTCACCTCTGCTGCTCGACTTTCCTTAAATGCCACACTCTCCTCAAGTGGAGGACTTGACCGAGCCTGTTATTGAAACCATGCTACAAATCAAGAGAAAAGGGAAAATACACATGCAAGCAAGAGAACAGAGAGAAAGTGGAGTTGTTGCTAGCTTGTTCGCGGGAGGGGAAACCTCAGCTGGGTCTTATGACTCTTATCAAAAAAATCAGCAAAGACTTCAACATTTCAACAATACACATTTACAACTGTGGTCAACTACTAAAAGTAGTGTCCATTCAGTGCTGCCACTAAACTTGGTGAGCAAACAGATTGGGACAGTAGGGAGCATAGTTGTGAAAAGCGTGCCTGAGGCACAATGCGCACGAAGCACCAGGAGTAGTGCATTGCCAACCTTGATGCACACGCTGTTTGTGAGGCGCGCGCCTTACTGTGCCTCGTCGCAATATGCGCAGTGTATTGATGCATAAAGAGGTGCGCGCCTTGTGAACATATGTTTTTTATTTTTATTTTTTATTAATTAGAATTAGCGCTAATATTTATTACGACTACCCCTCCCAACTTTTACGATCCCAATGAGATTAAACGGAATACCTATTGGGAAAATTAAAAGATTATTTTCTCTTTCTTTTGTTTCTTCGATTCAAGTACGACTCTTCCTCCCCAGTCTCGCAAGTCCTTCTCCAAACCGGCACACCTACTGGGCAGAAGCAGGTTAAGTCAGCTCTCTTCCTTCTTACGATATATTTTCTCTCTCGCTGGTTTCTCTTCTTTCTACTGGGCTAGTCCTTCTCTGTTTTTTATTAGTTTTTTGATAAACATATTGTTCTCTGTTTTTTTGTATTATTCTGTTTTTTAAACATTTGTTTCTTAACCTCTATTATGCTTTTCAAAATTCTCTCTCTCTCTCTCTCTCTCTCTCTCTCTATATATATATATATATATATATATATATATTATATACATATATATTTTATTTATATATATATATATATATATCATATATATATATATATATATATATCATATATATCGGATGGGTTTTAGAGAGAGGGAGGCGTCTGGCGACTTTGGCGACCGGCTACACCCTAGATTACAGCAATGGGATGATCGGAACTGTGATGGTGGTTATCGTCACCGAGACCATGGATTGAAAAGGGAAGACACTGGAGGAGGATTATTTCGTACTGAGGAGCGTTGAATTAGAAGAACTCGAAAAACTTCAGATTCCATCATCGGCCTCTCTTTCAGAATCCAATTCAAAAGGTTTGAATTTCATGTTTCTGCCCTTAACAAGATTATTCAGATCTCAGAAAGGGGGAGATGGAACAACTATTGATTTTGGATAAATCTTAGTCTAATTCAGTGTATTATCTCTTGTTTTGAATTTGTTCTCCGAAATCCTATGGTCACTCTTTGCAACCAAAGCTTTTGTGACGGAAATAGAATATTCAGTTTTGATTTAGACTCAAATGATTCAGGTTTTTTTGTCAAAATTGTGGAGAAGCATGTTAATGGTTATACCTCTATTCATGTTCCTGAGGGTTGTAGTAGGTTTGGTTTTAGGTTCTTTCTTGCTCATTTGATTAAGGCGGGGCTTTGGTTTAAGCACAACAAAACTACAGAAAAAGGGATTATTGATTTGGTTCTTTCTGATAGCAAGACCATAGGTGAGACTATTTCTAACAAGGAGGAGGCAGATGCTCAACTGGATGTGGGCAGAACTGTTGGCGATGACCTAATGGCCCTCTCTGAAACTAAACAGCCATGTTTAATAGCACAATCAAAAGGTGTAAATCCTATTTGTGTCCTAGCTGCTAGTTCTTCAATTCAGGACATGGCTGCTAAACTACCACCTGCCTCTTTTCAAAAGGAAGCAACCACCAGTGCTGCAAGTCTACATGCTGAGGATCTGCCTTCACCTTGTGATCTCAATTAAGCACATTTAGCAATTATTTCAAAGCATAGAGGTCATGAGAAGCAGAATTCAGATCTGAAGAATTTAATTGGGATAAAGGAACGAACTCCTGATTCTAAAGCTAGACATCTATTAAGTTCATCTAAGGGTGCAGTCAGGGCTTCGACTTCGAGGACAATTGAAACAGATCAGTGCATAACCAGTGCAGCAAAAGACAAAGGTTTTGAACACCAAACTGGAATTGCAGAGACCCCTAGTGTACATCCTCACACAATTCCTAGTTGCAGTCCCCCAGTGACAAATGATCCAGCAGATAGCTCAGGCTCAGGATCTATTGACACTCTGGTTCAATATACTACTGGTGCATATCGCTCTGCTTGTGACCAACAACCTAAGTCAAGTGTATTAAGGCTACCTATTAAGTCAAAGCCTCTTGGAGTCCTCAATGTTCAGGCTCTTCCTTTCCGACCAGCTTTTCAAGGTTTATACCAACCTAAACCCATTGATCAGAGCAATCATGATGGATCAAATTTACAGAAGGGTAATGGTATCCAAGTAACAAAGTAAATCACTTAAGGAGTTGAAGGCATTGTCAATGTCAAAGGAGGAAGATACAATTAAGGCTACTCCACTAAGTATTTTAGACTTGAAATTGGCTTATGATTGCTCTAAGCCCATCAGCCTCATTGATTTTCCTTTGGTGGTGAATCGAAGAGAAGAGTCTCACTGCACAGAGGAGGGGAAATAGAGGATAGTGACGTACAACATGAAGACAACATTGATAATGACCTTGCTTTTGTGGATGAGGATGCAATATTCATGGGTAAACAACAAAATAGGAACAAAAATTCTAAGAAGAAATTTGGGCAGCCTACCAACGATAACCAACTTTTGAGAAGTGGAAAAAGAAGCAAAAGAAGAAATAGATGAGCCTTGGATTGATGTTTATTATCGTTTATTCGTTACTAGTTTTTCAAGAATGGGTCAGTTGCTACACTTATCCAAAATGCTGTGTTCTTGTTCAATGCTGGGTTCTTGTTCAATGCTGCAGTTTCCTGTTCAATGCTGGGTTCTTCTTCAATGCTGTACTTTCCTCCTTTGTATGACACTTAATGCCTAGAATCCTGGTAATTGCCCTTTTCTGCTCAAGCCTCATCTTGTCATGCACAATGGCTTGACTTTTGTTTAGATTTATAGCCTGCCCTGAAGCATAAAGGATGATAAAATTGTCTTCACTCTCAATAGGTTTCTGCAATCTGCCTTTGTAAAAATAATAATGTCATCCACATAAAGAAGATGGCTAGGGGTTGGGGTTCTGCCAGAGGAAAAGGAGGAGATCCTGCCAATTGAGTGCTGAAAGTTCAAGAATCTGGTAAGACCCTCCAAGGCTAGAATGAAAAGTAAGGGAGATAAAGGATCACCCTGCTTAACCCCACACTTCATAGGAAAGAAACCCTTTGGCTGCCCATTAAGAAGCACAGAAAAGAAGGTTGATTTAAGGTTTCCCATCAAAAGCTGAACCACTCTTTGATTAAAACCAAACTTAGCCAGGATTCTTTCCAGAAAATGCCATGAGAGTTTATCAAACGCTTTAGACAGATCCAGCTTCAGTATACAATTCCCTCCTCTCACCTTTGCTGAAAGAGGATGTACCATTTCCTTAGCCATCAGAACTTGCTCAGTTATGCTTTTGCCCTGCTGGAATGCAGCCTGCTCTGGAGAGATAAGCTTGGGCAATAGCTTTTTGAGTCTGTCACTCAATATTCTGGTTGTAATCTTGCTAAAGAAAGTGGACAAAGAAATGGGTCTAAACTGATCTAGGGTGATGGCAGACTCATTTTTAGGGATAAGAGTGATTAAAGTACTGCCAAAGACTCTTGGCAGCTTGACCCCAACAAAGAATTCCTGAACAGCCTTACAAACATCAAGTTTGATGGTATCCCAGCACTGCCTATAGAAGAAACCATTAAACCCATCACCAGCTGAACTATTAGGATTTATATTTATATATATATATATATATATATATATATATATATATATATATATATATATATATATATATATATATATATATATATATATATATATATATATATATATATATATATATATNGTCGAAATGCACCATAAACCTTCGAAAATGCACTATCTCAAAATCTGAGCCGCACGATGCATCAGATCTGATGGCTAGATTTTATTCTCATTTCTCTCCACAAGGTGCATTCTCACGGGAACCGGCCCCTATATATATATATATATATATATATATATATATATATATATATATATATATATATATATATATATATATATATATATATATATATATATATATATATATATATATATACATACATACATACTGGAAATTCTACAAGTGCCTTAATATGTGCCTAATGTTCGTGATGCGCACACATTATTTGCGCATCGAGGAACTAGAGGTCCTTTGTGCATTGGTGCGTATAACGCCTTAAATAACTATGGTAGGGAGGAAAAAGGAAAAAAATAATTTGGATGTCATTGCTGAGATTCCTTTTCATATGAGATAATGAGAAAGAACTTCCGTGCATTGAGCTACGCTATGTAGACATTAAAATCAAGCGTGCATAGGTTGTTTCAAAGCAAGCAGTTAAGAAGACACGGCAATGCTATCAAGCCTGCTCTCACAGATGCAGGTAAGCTTATAAGACTGCAATTTTGTTTGGATCATGTTGGGCATGACATAATTTCACAAGTGCACACTTTTCTTGACATTTACGATCACATTCATATTGATGAAAAGTGGTTTCAACTTTCAAAGGAAACAACCACATTCCACACCCTACGAACTGAGACAGACCCTTACCGGAAAAGCCAATCCAAAAACTTCATTCCCAAAATCATGTTTTTGGCCATTCTCGGTAGGCCAAAGTATGGTGCGGATTGGGCATTACCGTGGGGCGGTAAAGTAGGGATATTCCCTTTCACATTTTTGGAAAAAAGCAAAGAGAAAGAAAAAACAGAGCTGCAGGTACTCGAGAGATAAGCCAAATTTAAACATGGCAAAAGATGCGATTAGAGATTCGCTGATATTGGAATTTTTACCAGCAATTCAGGGAAGGTGGCCAGATTCTGAGAATAAACATGTCATCGTTCAGCAAGGTAATGCAAGGCAACTCATAGACCCATATGATCCTGAATTTCTAAGTGTTGCAAAATAAGGTGAATGGATTCTAGAGGCATAGAGCTATGCTATCAACCACCCAATAGCCCTGATCTAAATGTGCTAGACCTAGGGTTCTTTTAAGCTATCTACACCTTTAAAAAGAAAAAAGCTCCTAGGCCTATATTGGAATTGCTAAATACCTTGGATTTGAAGACCTCAGGCGAGAAACATTAAACAGTGTGTTCATAACCTACCAAACTGTCATGGAAACAGTATAGAAACACAATGGAGGGAACAATTTCAAGCTTGCACATATTGGCAAGGACAAGTTAGAGAGACAAGGGGAATTGCCAGAATGTATAACAATCAGTGCAGTAGTGGAAGGTGCGAGGGAATATGTCAGGGCAAACATGGCAGGAACAATTAATGCAGCCTTAAAGTGAAGGCAGTATGTGTGAAGACCTATTTTTGCTATTGATGTGTGTGTTCACACCATAGAGCTAAGTACAATTTTTTATGTACACCCCAGAAAAGTAGCGTGCACACAAGGTTTGTTTTGGTTTTTTTAAATGTCTCTAAAGCATGACTATGAAGAACAAATGCTAAATGTATCTTTCATGTGTAGAATTTTTCTGTTTAAAACATTGCACTTGGTCTTCCTTATGCGTACACAGCAATTGGGGCAGCAAAAACAACAAATAAGGCTTATAAACCATGTGTAGCAATCTGTTTTTAGATCAGTTTAAGATTCAATTAGGGTCGGAATCATAACATTGGACAAACCAGCAACCAGAAATAATCTCAAAATCAGGCACATTAGGAATGGTTTTAATTGGGGCAACCAAAAAACAGCAAATTTGGCCCCTGAATCAAGTGTAGCAATTTGCCTCTAAACTTTAAAATCCAATTAGGGTCGTTAACAAGGACAAACCAGCAACTATAAACAACCGCTAAATCGGGCACATTAGGCACAGTCATCATTTGGGCAACAAAAACAGCAAATAATGCTCATGAACCAAGTGTCACAATCTGATTTTAAATCAGCTTAATATTCAATTATGGATCCATACCATTAGATTGGACAAACCAGCAACCGCAAACAAGCCCAAAAGTTATCATCAGTCCCACCCACCTCAAGCACAAGCTAGCACACTAACCACTCTATACATGCAAAGGAGAAAAGAGGATGTACAGGATATCGCCCTCCAGTCACAATCCCACTGTGCATGGAATGTCTTGGTGGCAAACTTTTTTTGAAGTTGAACTCTTTATCAGAGGACCGAGGATGTATTCTCCATCTTTGATGTCCTTTCTTCCCCTTCATCTTTCCAGATCTGTGTAGTTTTCATTACTGTCTTCCCATATCCAATCATCTCCGAACTTTTTCCGATAATTGCATGTGGGATCTGTTTTGGATGAAGTCCAGGAATTGGCTCCA